TCTAGATATCAATTTGCGGACATCTTCACAAAAGGCTTATCATGAGGGTTAAATTTGGATTTTAGATCCAGTCTTAGCGTACAACCTCTTCCCGCTACGACTGCGGGGTGATTGATATTATTTGTCGTAGATTAGGATAATATTTGTATATTATATTATGTATCTTTATCATACTAGGAATACGTTTCTTGTCAACTCTATATATTGATCAATGGTACATACTCCAGATTTGAGGAGTTTTCCCAAAATCCAACAAATATGTTGTCTCTTCCAATCACAAAATTTATAACATTAAGGAAAAGAGAGAAAAGATCCCTTCAAGTAAAATTATATTTATTCATGATGATGTACACCTACAAGACAAAGCTTAACACCATCATGTCTAATAACCAAACTTAGGCCCTATTCAGTTCACCTTAACAAATAATATCTAGTAAAAATAATTTCAATTCAACAAAATTTGGTAACTCTGAAGAAGAAATATAATAAAGAATCACAAAAATAATTTCAGTTAAGCAAAAATAAGTTCAGTTCAATAAACTTGATTTCAGCTCAGCGAAAAAAAGGTGAAGTGAACGTAGCCTTAAAACATGTCTTCTATCTTATATATAAGGTTGTGTAAGGTTGAGAAAAACTATCCAAAAAATCAAAAATCCAAAAACCAGATTCATAATCGTTCCGAAAATTAGAATACTCGATCCGATAACCATAACGATTCGGGTACCCATTGCGATAATTTGTTATCGGGTGTGGTTATTGGGTATCATTTTACTTTACTTCATAATCACTTTATAATATCAATTATTAGTAATATTATTAATAAGTTGGTCAAGATCATGAAGTATTGTTGTCAATTAGTGTTTAATTATAAGTATTGGATATCTTATTGGGTACCCGATAACCGATACGAAAATAAAAAACTTATCGGTTCGGTTTATGGATATCACTTTTAGTGATATTTGCTTGGTATCGGGTAACCTGAACTGTTAGCACTAACAATACGAGTACCCGTCCCATGCTCACCCCTAGGGTTGTGATCCAATGAGAAGAATCTCAATTAAAAAGGATGAGAAGCAATCTTGAGCGTACAAATAAATCCAGTGAATTACATTTCAATGTGCAAATGCACATTTAGAAAAATAATTATGCAAATTTAATTATAAAAACTAGTTTTAGGCCCGGACAATGCTCCGGGTCATTTTTTATATATAAAATATTATAATAAATTAAAGTGACATATATTTGTGGTTTTATAATTTTAAATAATATTATTGAATATTTCAAAATTCATTATGAAACATGCAATAACCTAAATTTTATACTTCATATTAGTTTGTTTTATTTGTTACAGGAATCTTTATCTACCATTATAAATTTCTTCAAAGTAAACACATGTTGTGGTTTTAAAATTGCTATATTTTTTTGTGTTATATATTTTAAATACGTAGTACAAATAACCTATATGAATTATGGTATATATATATATATATATATATATATATATATATATATATATATATATGTATATGTGTGTGTGTGTGTGTGTGTATATATATATATATATATATATATATAATTGATAATCAATTTTAATATGGCATGAGTTACATGACCCCATATCATTTATCAAGTCATGACGACACGTGGCATGATTACAATACTTGCCATGGGTTGACGAGCTATTAATATTTTGTAGATTTATTTTTCACATTTATTAATATTATGCACATTTAATTCTAAAATTTTGTAGATTTATTTTTCACTTTTATTTCCTCATTGTTTGTCGTTGACGAGCTCTCTGTCTCTCTCTTCTCCATTAAAACATATTTAGAGTTCTAATTTTAAAAGATATCTTCTTTTTTTTCAATGTCGAGAATTAAAGATATCAAATGTTATAATTTTGCATTGACAAACGTGAGAAAAAGGCGTCAATTAATTAAAAATGGAGATAGTATGCGAAATAATAATGATAACTAAAAAGAAGGAAATCAATCATAAAGAAAAAGGAAAGAGCCTTTCTTAATAAAAAAAACGATTTATTTAATATCATTTGATGGTTTTTTAATGTAATTCTTTGTTGATTTATTTTAACTAAACTAGAAAAATATAAGATCCTTTCTTAATTAAAAAAAACCTCTTTATGTAAAATAAATTTTACTCTTTCGTAAATACGATTATTAAAATATATACTATATTCTTCATAATTTTCTTAAAAAAAAAATCATCATAAGGTCAAACAAAGGCTAAATTTCGATAATTTTTTATTCACTTTATATATTGGGAAAACTCTTTTTTTTTTGAGGCCATATATTGGGAAAACTCATAAAATATCACATTTAATTTGATAATGAATTTACTTGAAATCTAAGGTTTTTTTTTATAATTTTTTTTTTTTATTTTAAAAGGTATGACATAGTGCTATAACAAATTAAAAATGAAATATATAAATGAAATTTAATCAATTTTTTCACAAATTTATATGTTTCTTTTTTCACAAATTAAGGAAAGATATGTTTAGTTATGAGTTTGATTAAAACTACTCAATATAATCCCAGCTTGCTTTACAAGTGCAGAAAATAAAAAATAAACTAATTGTATGCTTAAAAAAAAATAAAATAATTATAATAATAAAGAGGATTTTGAAAGGGTTGAGTTAGCAGTCTAGGGGTGTCCATTCGGATTTAATCCAAATTTAATCCAATCCGAAATATAATTCGGTTTCAATTTTTCAATACGATTCGATCCGAATTACTCTCCCAATTTAATCTGAATTGAAATTTAGTTATTTTAATGCGATCCGAAAATCTGAATTAAAATGCGTTAATTTTTAGCTTCTAATACGACAATATAAATAAAAATGCAATTATAAAATTATCAATTATCCAAGACTTAATTCAATATTGATACAAGTCTTGAAAATATCATGATTAAATTAAATTGTTTAACATTAAGTCAAGGTTAATTACTACTAAGTGTCCAAGCTAGTACAAGTACTAGGAAATACCCTTACAACAATAATACCATGTAACATCAAATGTTAAATTAGCAGCAAACTACAAGGCGGCACCATGCACCACCATATATATATATATATCAGCATTCAACAACAACAACTTCATTGAGATAGCAAGTCAACAAGTTCATAAATGCTTAATTTTACAATTCAGTTTTTGGTTTTGCTTGGATTCAATTAGTGTCAATCCAATCGAATTCGCTTTTCAAAAAATCTCAATCCGATCCAATCTGATCTGATTTAATAATCGGATCTGACTCGAACTGAGAATTCAGTTTGGATTGGATTGGATTTCGATAATTTGAATAATAGACACCCCTATTTAGCACCGTTAAATTTCAACTAAGATCGTTTAACTGCCCGTTAGCACTGTTAAATTTTAACTAAAACCGTTTAACTGCCCGAGACCGGCCGACCCAAATGAGAACCAAACGTCCGAACCGATTATTTAATTTGAAAGCGAAAGCCGGCCTAAACTGTATTTTAGTTAGCCCAAAACTTAACCAATCCCAATAACCGTATAAGAACCGAACCCATTAACGAACCGAACCAGTTATAAATCAAACTGAATAGAACTAAACCAAAAAAGAATTGAACCATTTCAAACCTGAAACCGTTTGAATAGAGTTAAAAACCGTTAGTTTACACCGAACTGTTTATAAAATAAACCGTTTACAAACCGAATCGCTTATAAATTAAACCGTTTACTGGTAAAACCGAACTGCTTATAAACCGAATCGGTTACAAACTAATTAGTTTTATAAATTGGTAGTCTCATTAGAATTGATCTTGTTATCTTAATCTCTTAGGGCCTGTTCACATTTACTTAATTTCAGTTCAGTTCAGCTCTAATCATTTCAGTTTAGTTCAGTTCAACTCTAATTAGTTCAGTTCAGTTCAGCTCCTAATTCCCTCTCTCATAAAATATTCATTTCAGCTCAGTTTAGTTTAGTTCCAATCTGTTTAGTTCAGCTCCAATCAGTTCAGTTCAGTTCAGCTCCGATCCTAATTTCCCTCTCTCATAAAATATTTAGTTCAGCTCAGCTCAGTTCAGTTCAGTTCAGCTCCAATCAGTTCAGTTTAGTTCAGTTCAGTTCAACTCCAATCAGTTCAGTTCAGTAAATATGAACAAACTAAACGTTTTAACTATGAAGGGAAGTCATTAAAAGGAATTTTAAATGAAATATAATTATACACACATGTTGACTACAAAATACAATATTACAAGAGTATAATTTACCGACCCAAATGAGAACCTTACTGATTAAAAACCGATTACTCCCTCTGTTTTTTTTTATTTGCATCAGTTCCCTATTATGGTAGGGTTTTTATTTTTATTATATATATATATATATATATATATATATATATATATATATATATATATATTTGCTTCAATTCTATATATAGCTAACTTTATACTATATTTTATTATTTCTCTATCTTATTTTATACTCCACTTAAATTGATTTATCATTTTTCTTTCTCATTGTCCCCTTTACCCCCTCTCACATACTTTCACTTTTATATAGTCTCCACATTGCTTTTACTATAATAAATTATTCATCTACTCAAATAAAAAAAAAACAAGCAGAGGTAGTATTTAAAACCGCAAACCGTATTTAAGTAAACGCAAAATCAAACCGATCTGATAATTTTAAATAGTATTAGAATCAAACGCGATCACGAACCAAACCAGTTTTAAACCGAATCGAAAAAATATCGAACCATTTCTAACCTGAACCGAACCGTTTACAAACCACAACCCGTTTGCACCGAATTGTCGAACCGTTACAAGTCGAACCGAGTTAAAACCGCACAAAAATAAGCTGAAATTGAACTAACCCGATAATAATTTGAACTGAAAAAACGACACGTAGGTCACTTGAACCGATTTCTAACTGACCCGTTTTAAATCGAACCGAAATCAAACCTTTAAACCGACATAGGTTGAGTAGATATTATAAATACTTTCTCAAGCTTACAACACCAACTCACAAAGCTTTGCTCTTGAAACTCAATCAATATAATTCTTTGTCTCTCTTGGTATTTCTTCTTTATTACAATGGCGAACCAATCAAATGCTAACCAAGGCATTGGAATTGTTAATTTTCTTAAGCACAAAACTTACTTCGTAGTCGGATCAACTGGCTTCACGGGCAAAGGTATTGCTTATTTCTCTACTAACTTAGAAATTATCTTTAGCTATGTATGTACTTGTATTTACTATCGCTTAAATTTGATGAAAATTACGTATTAGTGCGTGCCTTAGCTCTATAAAAGTATAATTATGTAACAGTCTTTATATATATATATAAAATTTTCAGTTAATAAAATTTCTCTTTCTCTCTTATATCTAATGGTAACTTTTTTTTTTCCTCTCTATCTCTCTTTACTCCAAAAGTTGCCTAGGATTATGTGAATTTACAAGTAATACATCTAAAACCGGAAAAAGTATATAACAATATTCATTAGACTATTGAATATATATATATATATATGCAAAATTTAGAGACCGTCTTACCATCATAACTCATAAAACTACTTGTGTGCGTGAGGATCTATTCACTTCACCTTAAAATTAAAAATAAAACTCAATAAAAATAAGTTTAGTTAAATAAAAATAAGTTAAATTTAGTAAAAATAATTTTAATTCAGTAAATATAATTTCAGATCACTTTGCTCTTGATACCATATTATATTTACTGAAGTAGTACTAGTACTTGAAGTCAACTCATGAATAAAGTCACTAGTTAAGCTAATTTATATGATAATTGAGATTTAGCAATTACCACACATTTTATGCACTTAAAGGGTTCTTGTTGTGTGATTGGCCTCAGTGTTTATTGAGAAGCTATTGTGGGAAGTTCCAGAAGTGGAAAAGATTTACCTCTTGTTAAGAGCCAAAAATGCGGAAGGTGCAGCACAAAGATTGAAAACTGAAGTGAGTTTAATATGTCCGGAGTTTCCTGTAAAAAAAAAAAAAAAAGTTTTTTCTACATTATAACCCTCTAACTTTGCGTTTTCTACGATGTGCCACCTTTTGAGAAATCTACATTGTAATCCTAAAATACATTTAATTTCTATACGGTAACCTTGTCGTTACCCCACCGTTAACAAATTTCGTTAGTGGAACACACTCTCCACTTAATAATTTTATTTTTTTTTATCGATTTGCTTATTAAAAATTATTCTATTAAAGGTTTGGGGCTCTTTTAGTTTTTAAGAATCTATATTGAGCTCAGATTTGGCAAAAAAACGATGTAAAGTCTCGTTTTGTGTATTAAATGCGTTAAATTGAGATATTTTTTAATACACAAAACGTGGCATTTATGTTATTTATTTGCTAAATTTGAGCTCAATTTGGACGTTTAAAGACCAAAATAGCCCCCAAAACCTTTAATAAAACTATTTTTAACACGCAAATTGATAAAAAATTTTATAAATTATTGAATGCGCCCCACTAACGAAATTTGTTAACGACAAGATAACGATAAGGTTATCGAATAGACACTAAATGTATTTTGGGGTTACAATGTAGAATTTTCAAAAAGAGAGGACACAGCGTAGTATAGATTACGGAAAGTTAGAGGATTATAAACTTATAAGGTAGAAAAACAAAAAAAAAAAATGTACGGAGTATTATTGTAAATATTTCATCTGTTTCTTTTTAGTTGCTATTTTTTTTAAAAAATTTTGGAAATTGCTAATTAGTTGTAATATTTTTCAGTTTTGACATTTCCATCTCTTTATATCTCTCCTACTCACATTGGCCCTTCTTATTTTTTTCTTTATCTCTCTCCTCTTATAAAATTGTATAGAAAACCGTGAAAATAAAAGTGTAGCATCTAAAAAAATAGAGAAAGTATTACAATATATTGTCAGATTAGTCACAAATTCACAATACATACTTTATACTCCCTCCGTTTCTTATTTCTTGCAACAAAGGGGGGTTGCACGGTTCCCAAGTCAAAAGTTTTTAAGCATGATTAATTAAAAGTAAGAGTATGCTAACAATGTAATTAAGGAGAGAGGGTGAATAATTAATTAAATAACTAAAAGTTCAGCACCACCACCGATGAACACACACGCCACCAGAACCACCGGCAACGAAAAGCTATCATCAACGAAACCACCCAGAAACCACCCGAAACCACCTAGAACCACCCGAAATCACCCAACGACACCACAACCACCACCCAGACCCACCACACCAAATCCACCCACCAAACCCACAACCACCAAAACCCCTCCTCCACCCCTACGAAACCACCAAAACCCCTCCTCCACCCCTGCGAAACCACCGACACCAACGACACTACCAGATCTAGACCCACCGACACCACCAAGGCACCAACACCACCGAAAACGACCAGTTCAAGAGCCACGAAACCACCAGACCCACGCCACCAACCCCACGACCCACGAAACCACCAGACCCATGCCACCAACCAACGACCACCAACCTACGCCACCAACCACGAAACCACTAACCCACGCCACCAACCACGAAACCACCAGACCCACGCCACCAACCCACGAAACCACCAGACCCACGCCACTGCCAGACCCACGACCCACGCCACTGCCAGACCCACGACCCACGAAACCACCAAGACCCACGCCACCAACCCCACCAATCAGATGTGAAACCCACTAAAAGGTGGTTTGGAATATGATTCTCAGAGATGAAGATGATGCAATGATAGATGAAGGAGGAGAGAGAAAGATAATGGGTTTGATTACTTGGGTGTGATTTAATTGATAATCAATTTAGATTAAGGTTATAATGGGTTGTTATCATGGGTAGCATTATGTGTTAAAATTTTTTTAGTAAGAGTATATAGATCATTTTGACAGAAAAAAGTTTCCAAATAAGGAAAAAAAATAAGTTTGTTGCAAGAAATGTGAACTAGCCCAAAATAATGACAAATGTTGCAAAAAATAAGAAACGGAGGGAGTAATATCAAATTATACATAAATTTTAATAGTATACAATTAATTACAATATAGTAATGGTTAGAGTCTTGTCTTTTTTTTTTTTTTGTCTAAATAAAAGTCTTGTCTTTACAACGTATCAGTTCAAAATGTACTTTTAACACATACTTCGTAATATATAATACCTTCGTTAATTGTTATCTGCAATTTTGGGGTATTATATATTTATGAGATACGGAGTATAAAATATTTCAAAGTTGCTAATAACAATTAACGGAGATATAATTTTTTTTTTAATTTTTTTTTAAAAAGGTAGTTAATTCAATTAAGTTGTTTTTATACAATATTGATTTATATCTTATAGTAATAACTAAGTCCAGCTCACATCCGATTTTAAATATTAATCTAGATCATAGATTGTGAAGTATTTGCCCGATTAAAAAATGAGCACGGAGAAAGATACGAGGAGTTTATGAACGGCAAATTGGTTGCAGTGGCTGGAAATATTACCGATCATCCTTGCTTGGGTATGGATGTCGATTTGGCTCGTGCCATTGCGAACCAAATTGACGTGATTGTAAATATTGCAGCTGATGCCAGATGGCATGCCAGGTTTACCTCTTTTTCTCATCATATACTCGTACTATTTTTGTTTTGTAAATATGAGCAACAAAAGCTTTGGCAAAAACTTGTGGGCAAAGATTTGTTTGTGAGTGTTGAATAGAGAGAGAAAATTATAGATGCATATGATGAGAAGAAAGATATTGTTGACTCGAATGAACAATATAAGAGGGGGGTGAATTGTATTGTAGAGGAACTAGGTTATTTTGGCGGAATTTATAAAGGAACTCAAATAAAAACTAAAAATGCAAAGAGAGATTTTACGTGGAAAACTTCTTGACCCTAATCAAGAAGAAAAACCACGACCACAACAGATTTTAACTCAACTCTTAATAATAATAGGGCAAACAACCTATTACAAATTAAGACTCTAAAGTCAAGTTCCTCTATGAACTTAAGCTCCCTTCAACTGATCCCTCAATCAGTCGAACTCTAAAACTCTCTCTCTTTATCCTTGCTTCACTCAAAGCAATAAAACACTCTTAGAGTTTCCCCAAACTCTAACCCAATACAACTCAAAGATTAAACTCTAAATTGCTAAGTACAAAGACAGTCAAGGACTTAAGTGGATTATGACTCTTTTTAAAAGCTAAAATACTGTAATGCTCAAGTGTACTTTTTCCAACTGAAAACCGAGGCTATTTATAAAAGAGTTAGGCAGTTAAATTGTAGTTGCCTTAATCACCACTTAACCACAACTTCCTTAAAACAAGGAAGTGCAATTCGTGGGTGCTTGGGCAGCAAGCTGAGCACTTTACAAGGAAGTGGTTTACTGCTTCCAATTTTCTCTCAACTTCCTTGACCAAGTAAAATAGCCGTGTTTAAAGAATATTTTCCAAATCAGATTTTCCAAAATAATAGGATAGAATCAAAACAAAAAATCATTTTAACTAACAAGATATTTTAACTCAAAAGATATTCTTCGAAATTAAATTAAAACAAGTTAAAATATGGAAAATAAAATCTTTATCAAATGAAATTAAATCCACTTAAATCCTATCAATTGACAATGTATTTAACATAATTACAAGTAGCCTAAAGTAAAGATAAAATACATTAGACCCCTTGATACTCTGAGAAGCTTCGACTCTGAAGCTTCAGTTCCTCACTAAAGGAACTTTCCTTTGAAGCTTCAATTCTGGAGCTCCAGTTCCTTATATAAGGAACACGACTTGATTGACTTCTTTATCCTTCCATGGCTGGCTTAGATCTTGTTCCATGCTCCCTTCTTACTCAAGAATTTCCTAGCATAAACCTGTCATAAATCAAAGCTAAAACCGAAAGTTAAACTTGTTATAGGTTTACTTAGGTTCCTTGAGTCATCATCAAAACATAAGGTCAACAATATTCCCCCTTTTCGATGAATGACAAACTAAGCAAACTCAGTAAAATAAAGAAGTAATAATCAAGAGAAAACATATAACTAAAAAATTGTGAACTAGAAAATATTTCTATAACAAGGAACTGAAAGTAAAATTATATACCTTATATACCTTAGCATGAAGATGGATAGAGAAGCTTGTCAACAATTGAGTTTGCCTTTCTTTTCCCCTTTTTGGATTTCATCAAAATTAATGCACATATATATCTAAACACAGCACCATTTGTATGGTTTGTGTCCAAAGCATAGAACAAGGCACATATAGGCAGAAATAGTATGCAAATAGTCATAAAGCAAGCAAGCAACATCCATATAAACAAACTAATGTTCCTCCAAAACATCAAAAACAAAAGCAAATACCCTGTTTAAATGTTTACAGACCAAAAGAAACCAAATAAACCAAGTTTAATACAGACCAAGACCAAAAGATAGTTTGATAGATGAGATAGACAGAAAATAGGACTAGGCTTCAGGGGCTGGGGACTTATGCTCTTCTCCAGTATCCTCATCTGATTCTTCTTCAACAACAATATCTTCCAGCTTCTTCAACAAATCAGCCTGGCCTTGAGAGAGAGTTGAAGTGCTTTCCTTCATTGTTGAGGTGAGTTCCTTAGAAGCTTGCACCAGGTCTCCTACCAGTTTCTCAAGAGCCCCAATCCTCAGAAGCAGTGCTGGTTGAGCATCAGACAGCAGTTTGACAACATCTTTGAGTGCCTTCAGTTCCAAGGTGGAACTCACAGAACTAAAGGCAGCAAATCCTGAACCTGCACTTACTGGAACAGAACGAGTGACAGTTTCTTGCACAAACGTGCCCTGTTCCCCCTTAACAAATGCTTTCTCCTCACTGAGATCCACAAAAGCAGTTGGAGCCTCAACTTTCATCTTTGGCTTAACAGCCAACCTGATGCTCTTCCTTTTCCTGCACCAGGAGCACTACCTTTCTTCCCCTTCTTTTCATAACTTTCTTCTTTATCTTTCATTTTTTCTTTCTTTTCTTCTTCTCCCTCACTGTCCTCTCCTTCCAGCCATTTATCCAGCTCCTCTTCCTCAGTTAGAATCTTAACTCCTTCCTTAGCTTTAGGGGTTTGTTTTGGAAGAAATTGGGTAACACCATCAACAACATGCAAGTTTCTGCTTTCAAGGGTTTTGGGTTGTACAAAGTGATTGGTTTGTAGTTTGAGATGTTCACAGTTCTCCACTAAAATACCAAAACTCTCAATGAGAGTAATGATCAGATTTGCATATCCCACCTTCAAATGGTTTGCAAGACAGTGGGTGAGGTGTTTTATCATGATGGAAGGGAAATTGATTTGTATTTTGTTTTCAAGGAAGTACATCAGCATAGCATCAAGGTGATTAGCCTCATGCCTGTGCTGAGTTCTAGGAACTATGGCTAGGTGCACCAAGATAAACAACAGTTTCTGAATGGGAGAGAACAGGTTATGATTGGTTTGGACTTTAGACACTTTTCCACCAATTGATTCCACAATTTCTTTTATAGGAACATCTCCAAACACTTTTATCAGTAGCTCCTTTAAAATACTCATCAAACCCCTCATTTGGAGTTCCAAAGATAGCACATAGATAATCAGCATCAAAACTAATTTTCTTATTTTTAATTCGTGACACACAAACACCATCAAAATTCTTAAAATTCGCATAGAATTCTTTCAAAGGAGCATGAGCAAGCACATTATTGTAACTTTCACTAAACAATTGCACCCAATTTTGAGCCTCTAATATTTCAAGTAATTCAGAATACTTACTTACTTCACACCATGGTAAGTTGATGCAGAAACCATGAATGAGGCGTTCAGAGCTTGCTTCGATTTTCTTGAGAGATGAAGTCTTTTCCAACTGAATCTTTTCTCCCAATTCCTCCCAGCCTTGATCCTCGAGTTCCTCCAGCTTTTGTTTCTTTGACTCAGCAGGCAAGTTCTTTGGTTTTTCAATAGAGAGTTTTGTTTGATTCTCTTGCTCGATATCCATGGGTGAATCTTTTTGAGGGGTAACTTTAGGTTTTGGTGAAACATCCATGGGTGAATTTTCTGAATCGGTAAAATGTTGGGTGTATTATACGGAGCGAGGAGGTGAAGAACAATGTGTAGGGTTTGGTGTCATTTTATAGGGATGGGAATTTCAAGGGGTAAAAGAGTCGGTGGAAGAGTGTGGAAGGTTAATTGAATAGTGCAGGTGTCGATTGATGAAGGATAGAGAAATTACTTTTAACTTGGTCAGTTTGAAATTTAATGTGATTTGACATGAAGGGTCTTGGTTAAGTGAAGATAATCTTTGATCAGAAACCTTGAATTGAATTTGAAGAGCCTTGGGTATTTAAATAAAGATTTATTTGAATTTTGAGGATAAATACTTGTAAATAATTCAAAATCAGAATAAAAAGATAAGATTTTCAAAAAGGATAAAATTAATTAACTGACTAGCTAATTAATTCATGAAGGGATAAAACAAAATCTGATAGATATTTCGGAGGAACTTGGAACAAGTCAACATAGTTTGTTGTAACACAGACATGCCTAATGCAATTTGATTTCTTCACATACAGCCACAATCCCATATGCAATGCCATACATTCTAATGCTTAGGACTATGTTTTCACATATTCAAATTGTGCAAGACATACATTGCATACATAATTGACTTATACCTTTGGGGGGAACTTGAGGTCTTCTTAACTCAATTGTATCATACCAATTTCCATGCGCATCTTTTCAAATTTATCCTTACTCAAAGGCTTAGTAAGAATGTCAGCAATTTGATTTTCAGTATCACAAAAATCCAATTTAATTAAGCCTTTTTCAACATTATTCTTAAGAAAATGATGCCTTATGTGAATATGCTTCACACGAGAATGATGAACTGGATCTTTTGAAATGCATATGGCACTTATATTGTCACAATAAATAGGAATGCAATTATATTTCATACCATAATCTCTTAATTGTTGTTTAATCCAAAGAACTTGGGAACAACAAGCTACAACAACCACATACTCAGCTTCAGCAATTGATAGGGCCACTGTATTTTGTTTCTTGGAGCCCCAAGAAACTAGACATGGTCCGAGGAACTGGACCATTCCAGAAGTACTTTTCTAGTTCACCAAATCTCCTGCATAATCAGCATCTGCAAAACCTTTTAAATCAAAAGTATCACTTCTAGGATAGAAGAGACAGAGATTGTCAGTTCCTTTGAGGTATCTTAGAATCCTTTTAACTACCGTAAGATGAGATTCTTTAGGATTTGATTGAAACCTAGCACATAAACCAACACTAAAAGCAATGTCAGGTCTACTAGCAGTTAAATAAAGAAGGGATCCGATCATACCTCTATATTTGGTTTGATCTACACTAGTTCCTTGTAGATCTTCATCCAATCTTGTGCCAGTTCCCATTAGTGTATGATTAGTTTTTGCTTGATCAAGGTTATACTTTTTTAGAAGTTCCTTGACATATTTTTGTTGGTGAATTGCAATTCCTTCTTCAGTTTATTTGATTTGAAGACCAAGGAAGAAGTTGAGTTCTCCTATCATACTCATTTCAAATTCACCACTCATTAAATCAGCAAAATACTTGCACAAGATTTCATTAGTTGC